CCCTAATAAACATCAATAATGCAGACATGCTTCTGCTCTAACCTACATTTGGTAACACAAAAAGAACCTCTAATTGCAATCCATTTTGTTCCAATTTAGAGAAGAATATATTGAAGTATCAGTTCCACATATTACTTCTGATAAAAACTGCAATGTTCTGCAGAAGAATAATGGTAACAAATGTAAATTCATAGCTATAGGCTGTTCCAATGTTATAAGTAACCTTGTTACTATATGTTTGTGTGTAGAATTCTCCATATGAAGACCCATGATTTTATAATGCAGGATTCTGCAGACAGTATTTGTATGAATAGCCCGCATTTTTATTGATGTTGCAGCACAGTTTTACTTAGCACAGCAACTTCTCAATATTCCTTGCATGCTGAAGTATATAAATAACGTTTGTGTGGCTTTTTTTGTAGCTGACAATATATCATGCTTACATAGGAAGGGTTTTATTCACCAAAGATTCAATATTCTTGGGACAAAAAATCGTTACAAAATTGGGTATTAAAGACTCAGTATTAGCAACAGTTAATCTTCCACCAGGTTATTTACATCGTATTAGACTAAAACCACTGAAGGGTTGATAGTGTTTTTTGCTTTTATCTTTATTAGGTATCAATTTAAGGGAAAAAATAGTGTGTTGTATTTTCTATGTGCAATATGCAACTGTGTGTTTGAGATGCTTCTAAAAGTCCATAATTGCAACAAAATATATCTTTTCATGATTTCTAAATATGATTATGGAGAGAGATTGTACCTGAATTTAGGTAACTTTTGCAAAAGATTCATGATGGGAACACAAGAGGTTATTCTAAGGGGAATAGATAGATTTTAGATGTTACTACAATGATTTTGCCTGAAGAGCACCATCTATACCACAAAACTGTGTTAAGTTTATTGGAAAGCAAGTAATTATTTCTGCAAGGAAACATGCGGTTATTTTCAGGGCAGTGTTCTTCATCCTTCTCTTTTATGGTTTATTCTTCTTTGTTCTTTCATCATTATAGCATCCGGTTTCTTTGTAGAGTCAGCATGGGGCATGATCAAAGCCACGTGAGACAAGAAAGCGACACTAATTTGAAGCTAGGTGCCAGTATGATGGTGCCTTTGAGAACAGGTGAGATCAAAATAGGTGGATGGTTTTAAAAGGAGTGCCAAAAGGTCATTTGAAGAATGAGGTGTTTTCAGCATTTTGAAAAATATTTCCCAAACCCTCTGATTTTATATTTCCTTCATTTCAGCAGAACATCAATTTTCAAAGTTTTCTGGGAAAAGCAATTATTAGCAAGCTATTGTCGAGAGGAAGAGTAAGCATTCCTCTGAAATAAAAATAATAACCTTGGAAGAGCCAATTGACATTAGTGTAGAATTACTATCTTGTCTTAGCCATGTCCTGGAAATATACATGGGCATTTTGTTAGTTAAACTGAACTGAATTGGATGGATTTGATAGTGTTAAATGTTGTAAGAACCAATAGTAATTTATGTCTTGCCATAATGTGCAAGATTTATTTGCATGATGTAATGGAATATATATTTACATGATGTGATGGAATTCACACTAATTTACCATGCAAATTTAAATTCTGTAATTGAACTCTGTGAACATGTCTGCTATAGATAATAATGCCTAGATATTATCCATTGGGTTTTTTAAAATCTAATTTGGCACTCCTCATAATTCATCTATTTTGATCTCACTTGTTCTTAAAAGAAACATTATAGTGGCTCCTAAGTTCAAATTAGTGTTACTTTCTCGCCTCACATGGCTTTCATCTTGATCTTATCTAATCCTCCTACAAAAAAAAAAAAAGTAAAGGAGTCTCTGCAGATTTTATTCCGCTAGTTCTATAGGGTGCAGTGCTCATCTCCATTTCAAGGCCTTTGAGCCAGTGCTGTCTGAAGACATTTCCGCGGTCTTGTGGCCAACATGACATCATGGAGCGCTGTTACCTTCCCACAAAAGTGGTACCTATTTATCTACTCACATTTGCATGCTTTTGAATTGCTAGGTGGGCAGGAGCTGGGCCGAGGACGGGAGCTCACCCCATTGCGTGGCGCTCAGGTCTCAAGTCTGGGGTGTTGGCTTTCCATCCAACAAGCCCAGCATTTTAACCGCTGAGCCACTGTGCTTCCCTCCTACAAAGGAGTACAACCAATTTCTCTTGGAAATGTATTTCCAGACTTACTAAGCATATACTATTTAAAATAAGGAACCAATAATAATTACAATTCAAATTAAGAATATCTATCTATCATTTATATCTTTGACTATGTGTATGTGATAAACTAAATACACTTGACTGTAAGAATTAATGTTGATCAATGTATGCTTGGAATAGACAGAAGGTCATGGCGAATAGCAGTGCTAAAATCCTGTGGGTCTTCCAAATCTAGATAGGCAGGTACTGGCAACTCAAGCAGACATTGTGGTACTAGACAAGGACTAGAAGATAATGTTGGTGATAGATGTAACAGTGCCAAATGACAGCAACATCAGGAACAACCGGTATTGGGGAAGTACCAGGGTCTGAAGGACAAATTGGAGGAGATGTGGAAAGTAAAGGCCAAAGTGTTCCCAGTGGTTGTAGAGCACTTGGGGCTGTGATTCCTAAGCTGGAAGAATGACTTCAACAGATCTCAAAGAGAACATCAGAACTCTTTGCCCGGAAGAGGGAAGTGCTAGGAACAGTTAAGATGCTGAACCCGTAAACTCCCAAGGCTATAGTAGAGCACCCGAGATTGAAAAAGATACATACAACCCATAAGGCCATTTTAAAAAAAGCTTTGTATCTCCCTTAACTGTGAGATGGCTATTTAATTTATTCATAACATATTGAGTTTCTTAATGGAGCTTTTTAGGAGGAAATTTACAAATGACTTTAGGATTCTTGAAATAGAAATTCCTATTTGGATTGATCATCACCTTTAAAGCTACACATAGCAGAAGATAGGATATAACCAGCAACAGCATCAAATCTGCCCATCCAGTTTAATCATCTAGAGAATGTCTATTGAGAGTTCCCCCTTCTTGTGATAAGGGGATGTAGATAAGATAAAAAATATGTGCAGTCCCCATTGGGGCTTTACTTAGGTGGATTTTGACTACGCCTCTTTTGATTGAAGATATCTATCATAAGCTTTGGTTTGGGTTTTATTGCCAAGATGATGTTTTTCTTTTTTGCTTGTTTTAGTATTCACCATAGCCTTTGGGGATTGGGACAAATTATAATAAATAAAAAAATTTTAAAAGGTCGAGCACCATGTAGTTTTTAAGAATGAATTAGAACTGTGAAGGCCCACTCTGAGGATTTATTGAGTGATTCTAAGTAACTTAGGATGAGTCTTTAGCTTTTAGGCTAACCTATCTCAAATAATTGTTGTTTGGGAAAATGTGGAGACAAGAGAGCTGTGACTTCTTTTGGGGAAAAATGGGATAAAAAGAAATGAATATAACTGCTGCTGATGATGCCATAATTAAGGTGGGACTGATTACATTCTCCCAACCCTTTTTAAGACATGTCTAGGGTATTAGGAAGCTAATGAATAAATAATCTGAAATACCTAAAACCAATAATTCACAATAAACTTAAAAGTCAGGCCAACATTTATAGACAAGACATCCAGCAGAGAGCAGCTGAAAAAGCTAAATCTTCAACAAACAAGGGCAAATCAGAAACATGGGTGGTGGAAGGCAAGCAATATCTCTAGCAAAGCCTGTCTGGATAATGGTTTCTAACGCCCACTTATGCCACAGTTGTTAGCTTTTACTCCTGGGAAATTAAAAAACTTTAGGCATGCCCTGTATCATTGGATCTGAGCCTATGAACCCTAACTTTCTTAAGGCATGATTGAAGCTTTGGTCTGCTCTAGTGATGTGTATATGAATAAGAATCTTGCTTAAGCCACAATAATTTATCTGCGAAGTCAAACTAGTCTTGTGGATATAGAACTGCCTGAACCGCCTTCGTGCTCATTCATAAGTGTGTATATATTACGTTATGGGAGTACTTCCCTTCCTATTTTGATAGAAGGATAACTACTATACAGCCTTTAGGATTTTATGGAAATGTTACTGTTTATTTTTCTTTCTTTGAATTACTAATGGTTCTAAAATCTGTGCAAAAACACATGAATAAACTCTTTAATGTTACAGATTATTTAGTCACAGCTGTAATAATATATTTATAGCATGAGATGAATAAAACAGGAAAAGCCACAACATATCACTCACTCTGGAACCTGGTTCATTCTGTGGGTGTATCAGGTTTTGCTTTTCCTGTTTCTAAATAACCATAATAAATTAACAGCTCCTAGGTTGTGTGTGGATGTTGTGTGTATAAACAGACAAAGAATGTAGAAGTGCCTTTAGGCTGATGACTTCTGGAAATCATGGTGTATAAATACATTAAGTTTATTTATGACACTGCCAACAACAATTTATACATGACCAGTTGTTTTTGTAGCATTGGAATATAATGAGGATATATAATTAAGTGGAGATTTTTTTTATTATCCAAAGGAATATTTCTATTGTTCCTGTTAAGTATTTTAATATAATGCATGCTAGGAATATATAGCAAAATCACAATTCAGGAGATTGTGTTTCTAGAGAAAACGCTTGAGAACAGCTCAGCAGCACTCATAGAAATGTTCATAGCCACAATTGTATTTTGCTAATCTCCTAGCATTCTTCTTCCTAGGGTCATCCCATAGCAACTAGAGGTTTCTTCTTATGATCTTTCCTTCATGCCCTTCATAACTTTTCTCCTCCTCCAAGTAGCAGCCCCAGGGTATTGTAGCTTTGAGACCTGGCAAGTTACTGGATGCCAAAGGGCTTGGTCTTTGATTAAGTAATATTTTGGTAGAGTTGCATGGCAACCCAGCATTAACTAGAGCTTGACAAATATGTAGAAAGCTCTTTAATAGGCCAGGAAAGGCCAAAACAGTTCTTCATTTTATGAGTGTTCATTGTATCTTCTTTTCCCATCCAGTAAAGGGTTGCCTTCAAGTTCAACATTCACTTTAGAAGACAGTGCCATCTGCCTGACTTCAGAACAGAGCACGGTGGAAACTGAGACTGATAATGCCTCTGTCCTGGATGTATATTTAGTAAGTTGTCCAAATCATGTTAGTAGTGTTTTGATTACATTTTTAAAGCATTTACGTTTCAACTTAACTTTGAATCATTATGTGTGGTAATCTGTTCATAGTATAGTGTCAATATTTCCTTCCTATTTCATTCCATAATCTGGAAAATGTAAAGTATTTGCCAAGCTATCTCTTTATATTTTTTACAACATTGATAATGTAGGATGCTCTGATTTTATTATTATTATTATTATTATTATTATTATTATTAATTTAATTTCTATACCGCCCTTCTCCCACAGGACTCAGGGCGGTGCACAGCATATTAAAACAGATACAAATATCAATATACAAAAATAAAAAACCCCTCTAAAACCAAATTTAAAACCAAATATTAGAGGCTGTATTCCAATTAAAATTATGCTTAAAATCGTCCCTAAATAAAATCCTCCTTAGGTCAGGCCCGCTTGCTGGAAAAGCCATGTCTTGAGGGCACGGCAGAAAGTAAGGAGATCCGGAATCATCCGGATCTCGGGGGGTAGTTCGTTCCAGAGGGTGGGGGCACCCACAGAGAAGGCCCTTCCCCTGGGGGTCGCCAGCCGACACTGTTTGGCCGACGGCACCCTGAGGAGACCCACTCTGTGGGAGCGTACCGGTCTATGGGAGGAAATCTGTGGCAGAAGGCGGTCTCGGAGGACCTCCATACATAATGTTTACGTCCTTGTTTGATAATGGATTTATTTTTTCGTTCAGGAAATGGTTTTCAAGTAAAGCATTAGAGTTTTGCAGAACCATGGGTGAATCCATTTTCCACAAGTGGAAACTCTCAGTTTATCCCACCACCCAATTCTTGTCTCCTAAGCACTTCTGAGTTTTTTTGTTTCAAGGATCTCAGTAATGAAGATGACCATGGGCCATCTGGGAAGTGTCTCTGACCATTGGGGGTGGGGGTAATCTTTTCATCTCTTTTGTAGCTGTGGTGGAACTAGCAGATTGGTTATTCTTACAGATTATTCTGTTAATTTCCAAGAGTCTTTCATTGCCATTTGCATATTCATTAAAATAGATCATGTTTGGGAAAACTACTACCTCAAGAGTAAGTGTTTCTTGACAGTAATGATTATATTTTAAGAAATGAAATATACCTTTTTGGAGAGAAAAAACACAATACAGATTTTAGGGAAGAGGAACCTGTTAGGAATACTGTAATAATGTCAGAGTAGCTTCCGGCAACTGCCTGTGTCAGCACTGCCTCTATATTCAACATGGCAGATGTCAGGACATTTCAATCCATTTTTAATTTTTATTAACCATAACAGTTTCCTGCAGGAGAACTGTAAAAAGATAGCATAATGCAGCCCTCTGCTCAGGAAGTTTTCTCCAGTGTTTTAGTTTTGACTGATTGTAACTACCATACTCAGAATAAATACAGTTTGTTACTTAGCTGCAAATCCATTCTATCAGCTACTTTAATTCAGGACTTCTCTTGTTTTGTGTGTGTGTGCAACTGTGTGTGTGTGTATATATGTGTATGTGTAAAACCAAGTAAAAGCATTTCTTGTTTGTTGTATGAGAAAGAGAGAAAAGATCTAAATAATAGTATATTTTTATGTTGATATGCGCTGAAAGGCCTATGTTGATACTTCAGTGTTTCATCTTGAGAAGCAAACTCAAGAGTTTGTGTGAGTGTCTTACTTTTGAGACTAAACACAGCAGCCTCTTCTTGAGTCAGAGTTTTCAGCAAAGCAACAAAAAGTGGAAATCACCAATAAGCAGTCTTTGTTTTTGCTCGTTTGTCCAAGTGTTAGCATTCATATACACAGGCACCCTAGTTACTCTGAGTGAAAAGCTTGATCCGAGCAGCCAAGATTCTGTTTAGAAATCTCTGCTTTCATTTTGAAGCAAAACATTATCCTAAGATGATTTAGTATCTTTTTATTTTGACTATCTGAGTGCATGAATACAAAATAACTCACAATAAATTCAAGGCATACAGTAGTAGAGAAAGAACATGAAGTTAAAAAAGCTGAATAAAACGAGTCAAAAATTCAATGCCATTAGATACGTATGGCCAAACATAGAAACTCAGGGGCCTTTTTATCAAGTTCTGTCATCATAGGCTGTGATATGCATCACTACTGGAGATATTGATAAACTAAATAATAATGAGTAGCTTTCAAATAGAGTTGATTCCTGGCGATTCCTGGCTATATTCTCTGAACAGTTTTTCAAGCTGGTCCTTTGTGGGATAAGGTCAAATTGTGCATGCGTCAAATCTAATAATTTCATTGCAAGCATAGAATAATTCAGTTGTAATTATAACCATCAACCTTTTTATCAGTTATTTTGCAAGATTAAAATTAGCATCGTAGCTATTTTGTGAAGTGAATATTATAAGGCTGTTTTCAAAACTAGAACCTTCTAAGGCTTCAAAGAAACAGTAAACAAGTTTCATGTTAAACCCAACGCTGCCACCTATTGCTGATAAAATAGCACAGGCATCTTTTATTTGACTTGACCTGTCGTTCGTTTACAGGTAGGTACAAAACGTCTAACTTACTGTTTGCCCCGGGAGTTCAGAACAAAGCAACAATGTACTGCTACTTATCCCAATGAATCAGTTTCATAAGTTCAGTTTTTTTAAAAAAAATATTTTTTAAATTGTAAATGTAACTGCACTACAGGTAGTCCTCGAGTTACGACCACAGTTGAGCCCAAAATTTATGTTGTTAAGTGAAACATTGGTTAAGTGAGCTTGCCTCATTTTACGACTTTTCCTGCCACAGCCGTTAAGTGAATCATTGCATTTTTACGTAAATAATATGGCTGTTAGGTGAATCTGGATTCCCCGTTGTCTTTGCTTGTCAGAAGGTCGCAAAAGCTGATCAGGTGACCCCAGGACACTGCAACCGTCACAAATATGAACCAGTTGCCAAGCATCTGAATTTTGATCACGTGACCCTGGGGAAGCTACAACGGTCGTAAATGTGAAAAACGGTCGTAAGTCATTTTTCCCAGTGCCGCTGTAACTTTGAATGGTCACTAAATGAACTGTTGTAAGCCAAGGACTACCTGTATTTAAACTGCATGGTTGTTCTCCATATAAAGCTTTTTATACCTTTTAAACATAAAACAGTTGCCTGTTTTATATTTAAATGGGGCAAAATATGGGTTATAAATATAATTCCCAGTTTTCAAGCATTAATTACCAGCATGATCTGCTAGTTTTATAACCTACTAACACAATTCCAGCCGTCTTGACCTTCATATAATTAATAGGTGATATAAAAATAAGAACTCCAACCCAAACAACATCAGTAAAAACAGCATAATACATAAATCTATTAAAGCTAGGTGCCCCTAAAAATGTAGAATTCTGTTAGTGTTAATTATATAGCCATCAGCAATATAAGTAACGGAATAGATTGGCGAAGCTCTCAGTACCCTTCAAGTCGTGCAGAATGCACATCCAACTAATAAGGCCTTAGATTTGAACAGTAAAACAGCTTCATTTTCTTTCGTATATAATAAGAAAATTCTCTCTTTGTCTAATTCCGTTCCTTGGCCGTTAATATATACGTATATTCTCACTCAGGGCTTTCTAGGTTTCATTACTTTCTCCTTTATATATACTTTAGCTTCACAATCTCCAGGAAATGCTGAGATAAAAAATCTAGATTGACATGCGTTTTCTGACACGTATCTCAGCAGCCTCTCTAAGATAGAAAGGCTCTTTAGATATATCTCTAATACTGAATTGATTTTTTTAAAGACATTTAAAATATTGATACCCTACCTGACTTTGAATATCTGAGTTTGCAATACAGTGTATTGTGCATTACTTGAAGGATACTGATAGCTTCTCCAATCGATTCAGTACTTCCATTGCTAATGGCTGTATAATTAACTTAAGCACAATTCTCTATTTTTAGGGGCTTTATGAAGTGGCTTTCACAGATTTATGTATTGTGTTGGTTTTTAAATGTTTTAATTGTTGATTGGGAGCCACCCAGAGTTCAGCATAAGATGGGCAGCTATATAAATGTATTTAAATAAATAAAATATCTTTAACCTCCCCCATGTGTTAGGAATGCATTTTCTATTAATTGTACTACCACATATCTGAAGGGTGTCAGGCTGGGAAGGGTTTTTCTAGTGTATTGAGTATCACAATACTGCTATTCATGTGTAGTTACTAAATAATCTGTTATGTAGTAGTATCATCAATATCTCATATATTATCTAATTATGCTGCACATTATATACTATGTGACTCATGCCAGGAACCAGGAATGGTTACCAACATTTTCAGTATAATTGAATATAATTTATAGTTGCTGGCTACATTTTTTTTTTTTTTGAGCAGCATTAGATTTCCAACGTGCCTCCCAACATTTACTTTTCTGTTAATGTGGTTGGATTGATTCTACCACAAATACTAAGTTCATTTAAGGCTATAAAAATAGCTTGAATGGGGTTTTGGGGGGAGGTGTTGTTTTGTTGTTTGTGTTAGTTTGTAAGATTTTTTTACATTTTTTACATAACGTTTTAAATAGCATCACAATTTTTTAATAAATACTAGAAGTCTGTGCAAAATTTAATTTAAAACTGAATATGTTAATATAGTTCAGTGGTTCTCAACCTATGGGTTGTGACCCCATTTGGGGTCGATCGACCATTTCACGGGGGTCGCCAAGCAAGGCTGTCCGCCATTTTTTTTTCCCCTTTTCCGGCGGGTGCCTTACCTCCCTTGGGCTGGGCCAGCTGGTGGTCGGCCTGCTCCGTCTCTGCCGCTTGCCAGCTACACCTTGGCCGGCGCAGGGGGCAGAACCACGCATGCGCAGCGCTCCCGGGCAGGGAAAGTCCTCGACTTACAACCGGTTGGGTAGTCCTTGACTTACGACCAGTTTAGTCCTCGACTTACGACCGGTTGGGGGTCGCGGCATTAAAAAGGTTGAGAGCCACTGATATAGTTCATACCAATGTGACAAAATTAATGTGAAGTCATATAGTAAAATGTTTGGACCTCACAGAGTTTAAGTTTAGTACAATAAGCTTTGTCTAAAGCAGAAGAGAAACATTGATATTGTTAAAAATAGATGGAGAAGGACCACCTTGGAAGCCAGACTTTCTAGTGGTTTTAATTCTGATGGTTACAGGTGATATTATATTGTGGTCCCACAACCAGTCCTCCCAGGAGTAGGGCAGTACTGTCCTTCAACTCAAAGATACTACCTTCCCGAAATACACAAACATGTTTTTCTAATAAAGTGTATCACATGAAGAAAGAATGATATCTTTATCAGTTTGATATTGAGTGACTTTCGTTTTCTACCAAAAATATTTAGCAGGCATATAGGCAACATGTTTTTATTTTATTATTAGTGTACATTTTTGTTTCTAAAGATTGAATATAGGGCAAGATAATTTATTATAGGAAGCCTTTTTTTTTCAGTGTTTATCCCTCTATGTACTCGTTAACCTGAAATGGCTGCAGATTTGGTCACATGTAACGGAATTGGAACACCCACTGAAAAAGAGTGAGCGACAAGGAGAGAAAAGGAAGACAAATATACGTATAATTGGGAACAGAGCATAAAAATGTCCCAAATATTATTATTGTGCCAATGGAGATTCAGTTTTAAGTATTCAGTATATCTGAATCTACTGAATCTACTCAGTTTTAAGTATATTCAGCCAAAGTATTACTCAAAAATTAGTTTCTAATGTGTACCATTTTGTATTTTTAGAAGAAGAAGAAGAATAGATTGCAGCAGGTAGCTGTCATTAATGTATAATAAATATACAGTATTAAAACATGGTGTGGTTAACTATAGAAAAGCTGATCTATAATTATCTTAGGACAAAAAAGCAGTGCACAAAGGCAGCAAAACATTTTACAGCCTTACATGTGTAAGAAAATGGATTCCTGAATTTTGTTCTTTTGTAAAATGTTTTCTTTTCTTTTTACAGTAACAGAAGATGAAAGAAAACGAGCATATTTTAATAAATGCACTTTCTGCACTCCAGATTTATGAGGAGAATTTTTTGTTCAGCCTGGTAAACAAAGTCTTAATCATCAGAGCTCTACAGAAATCATCAAAGCGGCTCGTGAACTGTAGACATCCCACCCTAGACTCAGCAGATGAAATGGGAAACATTCCACAATTAATCATGGCCTGCTGTTGCCTGCTCAACTGTGAAGCCTTGCCTCTTCCATCCTTTTAGCTGCTACTTCTACTTTCCTATTGTCTTTTTAGGACTTGAAGGTGGTATTTTCACTTGCATGTATTCAGTGATCATGGACAGAAATATCTAATCCGCCTTTCCTATTTAAAGAGCCATCTTCACGGTGGTGACTATTCTATAAATCAATTCTGCTTTTCTCCCCTTCCCCCAGAATTATGATTGCTCATCTGTTAATTTCATACAAGAGTTTAGTATGTCTGCACATAACTTTATGGAAACTATCTTCTATAAAGAAATTTTCACTGTTTATTAGTGAAATAAAGAAGCTATTTATAACAAAGCCTTATGTTTGTGTACATATATTGTCTTTGAAATATTTGTGATTAGATATATTGCTTGTAAAGGATAAATTACATAATTTATTTAGTATATTCTACTGTAAACTATAGTTTTATTGACAAATAAAGTATTTTGTTCTCAAAATAAATATTGCTGAAAGTCTTTAAACTTAATGGATGTCTTTATTTGCATCAAATTCCATTTTTTTTAGGCTGCTATGGTATATTAAGTGGTATGAGAGGGGAATTTACGTAATCTTCTTTTTACACAGAATATGATTGCAAAGTGGGATGCTAAACCAAAATAAATAAGATTTCATGTTTTATTTCTCATGGAGAAGCCAATATGTAATTGACATTCCGTTTGAGGAAATAATAGGACTTTGATTAATCTTAAATAAACCAACACAAACTTCAGATGCCTTAGGAATCTGGACAGTGAAATACAACATTTTTAAGAAAATTAAAAATGGCATTTAAAAATGTATGGAAACACACAGGATTGCTATGTTTACAATGTGCGTCCCAGAAATAGGCAGTTTTTATATAGCATGCAAACATAGCCTAGACAAGTTTTTCTTCCTAGCTACAATACCTCAAAAACAATATTTATGGAAGACTACTGGGAAATATAAAACATGTATCAGTAGAACAGATTGTGTGTAACCTTTTCTCCATGGCACTTTGATCTCTATTATTTATGGCTTAGAAAATATTCTTTCACGTAAGTGGAAGAATTCCTGATTTCGCTAACTGGAATCTTGTCTTGCAAGCCAACTTTACGTTTGCTTATTTCTTCCAATCTGTATTTATGCATAAATACATTATTTAAAAGTTTGCATTAAGTATGTAAAGGCTCGGGTTTGCCTCCTAGTACATGGAATTTAAGCTTGTGCAAAAAGTATCAGCAAAACCATACCTGATACTGCATTCATAAGATTATTCTCATCTAAAAATCCTTAAAAAATATATAATTATGCACTAATATATCACGCCTTTATTTTCTAATTCTATTTTTCCATGAGCCCTGGTGGTGCAATGGTTAGAATGCAGTATTGCTGGCTAATTCTGCTGACTGTCAGCAATTTGATTCAGTTCAAGGCTGACCCAGCCTTCCTTCTCTCCAAGCTTGGTAAAATGAGGATCCAGATTGTTGGGGGGCAATATCCGATTCTATAAACCACTTAGAGAGGACTGTAAAGCACTACGAAGCAGTATATAAGTCTAAGTGCTATTGCTATTACTTAAGAGAATTCTTGCCATGGATTGCAGAGAAAACATCACACTTTTTTTAATTATATAACAGCTTTAGACATTAGCATTATCATAATTCCTTATTTCATCTATCCTTTTTAAACCTCCTTGATCTGGCCGTAATGTTTGTTAGGATTTATAGAACTATATTACATCCCTCCCTTTGTTAGATAAAAACAAACAAATTCTGGCTTTGTTGAACTGTTTTCTATGGTTTCGTTTAACATGCTGGTTTCTCAATTTGTATCTTCATCTGCCTCTTCTCCAGCACTGGAGATGGAGGATCCACCCGTAGGATCCACCCGTGGGTTGAGACTGTATTCCTGCCCAATCAGATCAAGTCAGCCAAAGTTGTCACACCCTGTCCCTGGACCTGTGCCCAGTCTTGACTTGATCTGCCCATGGACAGGACGTACAACTCTGGCTCTTAGGTACAGTCTAGACTTGGGTGAATTCTCCATTTCCTTCCTCTTACGTTTTAACAATTGGATCCCCTTGTCTAAATTTAATTAACCAAATTTAACCTCAAATCCCAGCTACCTTAGTGTCAGCTCTGTA